TGGCCTTGAACACCGCCAGAGATGGAGCATTCACAACCTCGCTGGGCAACCCATTCCAATGCCTCACCACCCTTACAGTAAAGAATTTCCTCCTTATATCCAATCTAAGCTTCTCCTGTTTAAGTTTTAACCCTTTACCCCTTTTCCTGTCACTACAGTCCCTAATGAAGAGTCCCTCCCCAGCATCCTCATAGGCCCCCTTCAGATACTGGAAGATTCTTTCATCTTAAATCGCTAAAGCCTTCAGAAGCATATTTATCAAGAAATTAGTACATAAAAGCAGAAGAGGAAGAGAGATGGGGAGCCACACATTAGATACTGGTTCCCAAGAACTGTAGAATTCTGGGAAGATGGGAGGGAAACAACCCCTCAGCTTTGTATTTACTCTTCGCAGTTATTTCCCTATCCCCAGCCTCAATAACTTGAAATTCTGGTCAAGGCAGCAATGACAAAATTCCAGTAATGAAGCTGTTATTACAGTTTTTAATTCATCACTGGAAATACAAATATACCCACAAGTAAACCTTTTCTCATGTAATTTCCTATCCTGTTCATTTTCCCTGTACTCAGGGAGCTGGAATTCTGACAGGTACTAAAAGCTGTAATCTTACAAAGTTCATCATAAGCGAAGTATATTTAAAACTATTTTCCAGCAATTCCTGCACTGTGGTCTAAAAATTATGGCACTGGGTGTGTTGCTTGTCAAATACGACCAAGAGTGGACCTTGAGCTGCTCCAAACCACTACAGCAGCGCTGAAGTCAGTAGCTGGCTGGCAATTCTGCACTAGTCACACACTCATGAAAATATTTAATCTTAGGCTATGCCTAGCCCAAATTAATGTCTGACCTACATGTATTAAGCAAATGAAAGTGGTGTGTGGATGAGCAAAAGGTTAAAGCCAAAGAATGGGAGCTAGTATGTGAAAAGTGTTCCTTTTTCCTCATTAGACTTTGAAGGCTTAACCTTCCCAGAAACTTCAGGGTATGAAGGGTTGGGTACAGGGAGAAGCAGCTGAGTGTCAGCCACAGGTTTTGGCAAAGGAAAACACGAATCATGTTCCAGGCGAGCCATTCACACTGTGCCAGTTTGAGATGCACATCTTTCCAGGAATGGCTTTCATCTAGGCTGACATGTGAAAGAATTTTGCTCTGCTTCAGCAGTGTAAAGGCACTGGGGCTTCTGAGCACTGCTGTCTTGGAACATGATTTCCCTTCAAATGCTTGTGCTGGTTATTATCTTTCTGGTTACAGCTGAAATAAACCATTTGTGTTTCAGAAGGAATGATAGTGCTTGGATTTCTAATTAATTTTGAATGCTATTTACAAGATTAATATGAAGATGTGCTTTGGTACGTGGCCATGAGTGTGATATCACTGTATATAATATTTCCATTCACAACCAAGCAATTAATCTTTCCCAGTATATCCTTCAGTTCCTCTTTAATTTTGTGCAGTGGAAAATGACAACTCTTCGCTTTGGTATTTCCTGTACAGGAGGGGTTCAATAAGATGTAAAGCTCTGAATCACTCTTGGAGATGTTAATTCTCACATAATAGCAGAATTTAAGGCAACAGAAATACTGTTGGTAAGGTTAAAGCCCACGAAGGATGAGGATATGATGACTGGGTTGAACATCATGGAATCTTCAAGACCTCTTAGGAAAAGGCATAGAAGTTGCCTATGAACGGCTGCAGTACCAGCAGGTGAAGCTGCCTCCGTTGACTATTTAGGATTTTGAATTGAGAGAGAGAAGAAAGCAAAACTAATGTAGCAGAACTGTAGGAAGTCTTGAATGGAAAGAACATACGATCAACCAGGCTGGGGTCCCAGTGAGCATGCTGGAGATGAGTACATCCTAAAGATGAGCTAGTGTGAGTTTGAACTGGGAATGTGTGTGGATTGGAATAAAGATCACTGCTGATTTTGCCACACTGATGTTAGCGGAGCTAGGTTTAACCTTATTTCCTAAGCTAAGTGGCTGCTTATCATTGAGATTCTGCCTGTATCAAGAGCAAGACACTGCCCTAAGGTTTATTTCATTGTAAAGTGACAGGGAGGCCAGTTAGGCAGATACTGACTGGGATATAATAGAGTAAGGCTGGAAAATCAACCAGTATAAGTAAAAAAAAATAAATAGGAATTTGTAAAACAAATAAATGTTAATAAATATTTAAACAAGTATTTTAAAGGGCTGTAAGTAGCTGTGGCAGGTACACCCAGACGGACAGGGACATGGCAAAAGCCCACAAAAGCTTCTCTCATCAGGCCAGAGCCCAGGAGAGCTTCTTCCCCCTCAGACCAGCACCCGGAGAGCTTCTTCTACCTCAGACCAGAGCCCGGGAGAGCTTCTTCCCCCCTCACACCAGAGCCCGGGAGAGCTTCTTCCCCCCTCACACCAGAGCCTGAGAGAGCTTCTTCCCCCCTCACACCAGAGCCAGGAGAGCTTCTTCCCCCTCAGACCAGCACCCGGAGAGCTTCTTCTACCTCAGACCAGAGCCCGGGAGAGCTTCTTCCCCCCTCACACCAGAGCCTGAGAGAGCTTCTTCCCCCCTCACACCAGAGCCAGGAGAGCTTCTTCCCCCTCAGACCAGCACCCGGAGAGCTTCTTCTACCTCAGACCAGAGCCCGGGAGAGCTTCTTCCCCCCTCACACCAGAGCCCGGGAGAGCTTCTTTCCCCTCAGACCAGCGCCCGGAGAGCTTCTTCTACCTCAGACCAGAGCCCGGGAGAGCTTCTTCCCCCTCAGACCAGAGCCCAAGAGAGCTTCTTTCCCCTCAGACCAGAGCCCGGGAGAGCTTCTTTCCCCACACACCAGCGCCCGGAGAGCTTCTTCTACCTCAGACCAGAGCCTGGGAGAGCTTCTTCCCCCTCAGACCAGAGCCCAAGAGAGCTTCTTTCCCCTCAGACCAGAGCCCGCAGAGCTTCTTCCTCCTCAGACAAGAGCCTGAGAGAGCTTCTTCCCTCTCACACCAGAGCCTGGAGAGCTTCTTCCCCCTCAGACCAGCGCCCAGAAGCTTCTTCTACCTCAGACCAGAGCCCGAGAGAGCTTCTTCTACCTCAGACCAGAGCCCGCAGAGCTTCCTCCCCCTCAGGCCAGAGCCCGAGAGAGCTTCTTCCCTCTCACACCAGAGCCTGGAGAGCTTCTTCCCCCTCAGACCAGTGCCCAGAAGCTCCTTCCCCCTCAGACCCGAGCTCGTAGAGCTTCTTCTACCTCAGGCCAGAGCCCAGAGAGCTTCTTCCCCCTCAGACCAAAGCCTGGAGAACTTCTTCTACCTTAGACCAGAGCCTGCAGAGCTTCTTCTCCTCAGAGCAGAGCCCGGAGAGCTTCTTCCCCCGCAGACCAGAGCCAGGGGGAGCTTCTTCCCCCTCAGGCCAGAGCTTGAGGTTAGTCAAGATTTTTGCTTGGATTTGGACTTTCAGTCATTTCCACATTGTAAGGTAGACTGATTTGGAAAAGCAAGAGAAGATTTCAGGAAAGGTAAGAAAGGTCATAATGGGACATTTTGATATTTTTGTTTGGGATTTGTTCTTCCCCCCCCCCCCCCCCCCCTTAAATACAGTTCGAGACAAAGTTTTCCTTTTACAGTTACATGTGCTTCTGTTGTGCGTGTACAGGATTTGATCTGTATCACTCTGAACTTGTCCCCTTTTATCTGAAAGTGACTGTTTCTACCAGAGGAATCATTTTTGCCTTGACTCTTCTTCCTTCCTTTTCGTGGCGGCTTGACCCCAGCCAGCAGCTGAATGTGCACACAGCCACTTACTGCTCTGTCTCCCACCCCAACCAAGTGGGACAGGAGAGAACAGAAACCCTGACACAAAACTCATGGTTTGTGATACCGACAGTTTAACAGGTGTAGGAAAAGAACAACACACAGAGAGCCCCTAAACCCCCCCCCAGCTAACCAAAGCAAATCAGTCATTCACCGTCTCCCACAAGCAGACTGCTGCTTTGCCCGTCTCTAAGTAACGATCACGTTGTAAACCAAGGAACCCTACACCTTTCTTCCTGTACCCCCACTTTAATGCTAACTATGTTATATTGCATGGAACATCCCTTTGGCAAATTTGGGTCGGCTGTCCCAGTGTCCCCTCCCAACCTTTTTCCACCCCCAGCTTCCTCTCAGTGGAGGGATGGGAGTGCAGAATGGGAAAAAAGAACCCATTGCTGCTGTGCAAGTGCTTTTTAGCAACAGTCAAAATACTTGTGTATTACCAAAACTTTTCAGTCACAAATCCAAACCACAGCACCACAGGGGTTGCTATGAAGACAGTTAACTCAATAACAGCCAGACGCAGTCCAGTCTTAGAACAGATTGCCAATTTCCCAGGCCACTGAGTAACTGCATATTACTTATCTACCACATCTTTTCAGTTTTTCAACAAGTAAAACACAGCCTATTGTTTCTTATTATTCAAACAGGCTTTTAAATTTTATTTTATTGTTCCAGAATTGAGAGGCAAGGGGGTGTTATTTGTTCACTTGTTACAAAGTTACTTGTGATATTTCAAGATGAGAATAAAGCCGTTTTCTAAGTTAGATTTGTTTCAAGTGAAGTTGTTCCCTCCAGAGATGATGCTTGGTCGAAGAAACATCGGATAAGCACAATATTGAAAATGCACAAGTGGTAGATTAAAAGGAAAAGTAACTTTCATGTTTGCTTCTGACTCTGTCTTAAAGATTTAATAATGGAGATGGAAACCATTACTGTTAATGTAGCAGACATTAGAAACTCTTTGACACCTCCCAACAACCAGGGCTGCTGAAAAGAGAAACCAGGGAGCTCACACCTATTAGAGAGCTGGGACTGGCAAATGTGTGTGTGGGGAACTTCCATGCTGTGCAAATTAGTGCTGAAATTACATTGGCCTCTTACAGCTGCTACTGTTTATCCAATGTTCTTTGCTGTTTTTTTATCAGCTGAAATTAATTGTAATTCAGCAAAACAGTGATAAAAGGCTGGTATTTTGTTGTGTTCCGCATTTGAGCTTCATTAAAAGCTTTAATCTAAAGCTCCACCATGGGAAGTCTCACAGAGCTAAAATAGGAGGTCTCTGAAGAGCTTTAATTTCAAACCCAGGTCATGTCTCATAAGCACTAGTTCTTTTTCTTTCTTTTCTAGGTTTTGGGGTGGTTGTTTGGTGTGTGGGTTTGGTGTGTTTTTTTTTGGTTTCTTGGACGTTTTTGGTCTTTTTCCCTTCCAGTGATGTCTTTAAAAAGCATTGAAGTCACTTTTGAAACATAAGGCTTAGTTCACAAAGCTCAGTTTTAACGGACTGGACTTCGTGTATGCATCAGGCATGAGATGCGTGAAATCAAGTCACAGGCTGCTGCAGGCAGTTTTACTACTTGGTATAGAGGGTATTTCTCTTGGGAGGAGGAGAAGACTATTTTAAAAACAAAATCCAATAGTCCTGTCTTATTGTACGCAAAGCTTTACGTAAGTGGAAAAGCAGAAAAGAAAACAGCAGGACAAAGCTAGATAAGGCACCATACTGAAGTAATAATGTCAGGCAACAAATGGCATCTGTGTACCGGTATAGCAAAACTCCAGCAATAGATAGCCAGGAGACCTTAAACAGTTTTTCTGGCTTCTTAGGTCAAAACATTTTCCAGTAGCAATGGCTACATGTGTTATCATATTATATAATATATATATTATATAACATATAATATAATACATAATTACGTTAACTATATTCCATGTGAAATACTGTTGTGAACAATAGCTTTCCTCAGGGACAGAAAAAATAACTTTGGGAGGAGGAGGTAGGGACTGACTGTGGTTCAATATTCATAGCTGTCAAGATGAATGCAATTTACAGGAGGAGCTTCATCACTCAGTGATGAAGTTATTTCATTCTATATTTCTGGGTTCTTTGGGACAGGGGAACAGAATGTCCCTTTATCAGCATGGGAATGGTGCACCCTTGCCTTTGGATTTATAGGGTGGATTAGACCTCTGTTTTGAGGACAATTTCTTCCAAATTTTAAAAGCTGGGAGGCCAGTAGGCAATCTCATGATTCTGTAGGTCCCGTACAGTGGAAATACTTAAGGAAGTGATTGATTTGTAGTTTGATTAGATCCTTTGATTACAGCTCCAGAGTGTCTTGCTTTGTACGAGGAAGAGGTCACTAAATCTTCACAGCAGTCACCCCCTCCCAAGTCTGTTTTACTCAGAGAAGAGATAATAGAGAATCCAAGCAGGTTCTGTGCCATCTTGAAACTGGGCAAGCTTCAGTCGTATCAGAATTTGTCACCTTGTACTCATTTTGTATGCATGTAAAAATTGATATCTATTGTAATGCACGTTATTGATCTGCTCATTACTGTTTTCTTAAGTCCTTTTTTACTTACCTTTAATGCTGGGGCCTGAAGTCTCAAGACAAGGCTTTGTGGCAGGAGTGAAATTAATTCAAGCAGTTAGTTCACAGTGGATCAATTACTGTATTCACTCACTATAAAAGTTTGCATTCAGAGAACATTAAAACTATAAATTAAATGAGCAGGTTCCAATATACTCATAATTAGACTTCCCCTAGCATATTTATCTGGGATGCAGCGCTACAGTGTAACAGAAAATGGTATTGGGGCATTAAGAGCATCACTGTGGAAATGATTCAACAAGGGATAGCAGTAGAAACAATATAAATGTTTTCCTGAAGGGAAAAATGCATTTTTGTGTGTCACTATGAATTATGAGAAATAGCGTGTCCTGGATGCTAGGATCTGGAGCTCTGGTTCAGGGATGCTGACTTCTATTCCTGTTACTGTTCTGCTGGGTGAGCTACCAGCTTGCTTTGTCATTCTGTGCCTCCATTTCCCTGTCCATTGAATGAAGGTAAGGTATTTTTCCAAGAACATTATGAATCTACCGCAGGTAGCTATTACTTACCTATCAAAACTTACATTGCCACCATATCTCAAGGAATGGGAACAAAAGAAAAGAAGAAACCCCCCCCCAAATTAATGTTACTAGAATTTCATATCAATTTTTTGTAGACAGAGGAAGGCTTTTTGCTTTTGCATTTGTTTTTAGTTTGTGCCAACTGTGCTGTTTTGTGTTCTTGACTGAATGCAGAGTTCTTCTGAGTTTAAATACCTTTCTTGACGCCAAAAGTCTGAGCTCACATTTTATATAATTTATATAAAATAATTCCTTTATAGAAATAGTTTCAGTTGTAATTTCTTCAAGGTAGTCAGAACAGCATTCAGAACCTTGGGCCAAACATAACTCCAAAGAGTGTGTGTATTTTTATAAATAGGACATTGTCTCTGCCTTCACACAGTGAAGTCACAATGTTGTAAGCAGTAGATTTAATTCAGTAAATGTGAAATTCATGGCTGATCAGGTATGAGATAGAAATAAGAAGCAAAGCACCAGCTTTTGTTTCTGTCAGTGGAAGCTCAAGCAACTAGAAAAAGTTAGAGAGCTTCCCCAAGGCTGCAGATTTCCTCCTCACAATATCTGAAGCAAGACACACATCAACAGGAGCACAAAGGGAGGAATGCAGTGGTGAGCTGTTTGTTTCCTAACAGCAGCTAAATTTTAAACTGGACTAAATTGCCTCTATCAAGGTATGTGCAGCAGCTTTGCATATGCTCTTTCTTCTCAGTGTAACATATAAATGTGGGTCCCATTGTTTATTACTGCTTTTACTGCGCCATCTCAAACCAGTGGTTTCATAACTCCTGCACATGAGCACAGGGTCTGTTTGAAGTATCAGCCTAAGCTGAGTACTCTTGCTAAAAACAAAATGAAATCTGAGATTGTCTCCCATTCTCTCTTTTGTGTTCTCTTCATTATAGTTTGCTTCATGTTTTCATCTGTTGTAGGAAATGTTTTAACCGTATAATCAAGATCCGTAATCATGTAAGCTAACATTGATCATGGCCATTACAAGTGTCTAGAATGACTTTTGTCTATAGATTTTCCAGGATATCCAGGAGCTTCCCAGCTCATATGGATAATAGTCCTTGTTAAAATTTAATATATCTTGAGTTTACTATTTCGTTCCCCCTTTCTTTGAAGAATATTTGTACAGTTACATTAATTAATTACTAAACAGATATGTGCAATATGATTTCTCTGTATAGATCTATATGCAAATACATATTATTTTCCCTACTAAGAAAGTTTGTGTATGGAAAACAAATATTGCTAATTTTAACTGGTTTGCAAATTACACGGAAGCAAATCCAGGAGTCAGGATTTCTTGAAATCCCTGAATACTGAGGTGTAGTTCTAAATCAGGTTTTTAGTTAGTGAGTCCTTTGTATTCATGACAGCTTGAAGCTAGGTCCCTCATGTCGGATACCTTCTACATTCCCCTAAACATCAGTATCAGACACCAAGAGCTGTATTTGGAAAGCAGTTTACAACACATTTACACAACTAGTTTTAAGCTGTATTGATCCAGTTGAACAGGTGTTGTAAGAAGTCAGTTGAGCAAGACATGATGCGAGTTATTCAAGCTGATAGTTTTCTCTGAGGTTACCAGTGGTTCCCTGGGAGCTTAAGTGGTAAGGTGTTGTAGTTTTTTTTGTATATACTACTATTTTCAAATTTCATAGACAGTAACAACTTATACTATAAGGATCATTTGGTAGCAATTTAATTTCTGCAAGTTGAAACAGCATTAAAGACATCATGACACGCTTGTGAGGTGGGCACATGCCAACCTTATGAAGTTTAACCATGCCAAGGGCAAGGTCCTACACCTGGCTCAGAACAATCCCAGGCACAGCTACAGGTTGGGCAGAGAAGAGATTCAGAGCAGCCCTACAGAGAAGGACTTGGGGGTGTTGGTTGATGAGAAAATGAACATGAGCTGGCAGTGTGTGCTTGCAGCCCAGAAAGCCAACCGTGTCGTGGGCTGCATCAAAAGGAGCGTGACCAGCAGGGCGAAGGAGGTGATCCTGCCCTTTTACTGTGCTCTTCTGAGACCCCTCTTGGAGTATTGTGTGCAATTCTGGTGTCCTCAACATAAAAAGGACATGGAACTGTTGGAACAAGTCCAGAGGAGGCCACGAGGATGATCAGGGGACTGGAGCACCTCCCGTATGAAGACAGGCTGAGGAAGTTGGGGCTGTTCAGCCTGGAGAAGAGAAGGCTGCATGGAGACCTCAGAGCAGCCTTCCAGAATCTGAAGGGGGGCTATAGGAATGCTGGGGAGGGACTCTTCATTAGGGACTGTAGTGACAGGACAAGGGGTAATGGGTTAAAACTTAAACAGGGGAAGTTTAGATTGGATATAACGAAGAAGTTCTTTAAGGGTGGTGAGGCACTGGAATGGGTTGCCCAGGGAAGCTGTGAATGCTCTGTCTCTGGTGGTGTTCAGGGCCAGGTTGGACAGCTTTGGGTGACATGGTTTAGTGTGTGGAATCGCTTCCCATGGCAGGGGGGTTGGAACTGGATGATCTTAAGGTCCTTTCCAACCCTAACTATTCTATGATTCTATGTGCTGTACTAAAAGGAGAAAAGAAATACATGCTCATTGCTCCTTCACATTTTTTTCTGAAGTATACTGGAAACAGTTCATTCAGCTGTACTGTAGCACAGTTGACTAGATGAACAAAAAGCGATTACCAAAGCTGTCCTTTCAATTTGTAACTCATTTCCTCTGTTTCTCTGTTTCACAGTCTGTGTTGAAAAGGTTTATCCCCAGCTCCTAGACAAAGACAACTTGTGAATAACAAAGTCAATGTCAGAAATGTCTAGCAAAACGGAAAAAGGAAATGACTAATGAGAAAATCTCAGACAACCCTTATCAGGACCTATGGATAGTGGCTTTAGCAGTAGCAGTAAATTGGTGATGACATATGCTATAGCACTGCTTTTGTCACTTCTCCTGTGGCTGATTGTTAAGCTGTACTCTTTGGGAAGGATGTTAAGCTCATCTTCTGTGAGTGCATGAGTAGCTCACAGACATATCTAAGTCAAATATGCTGTTCTCAAACAGCATCCAGGGATCCCTGCTTTTCAAAGCAATCACAGACTTTTGTTGCTTAAATCTGGCAATTTGGGTAGAAACATCGCCTCGGTCACTACTGTGTATTATGTGAAACTAGAGCTACTCAGAAATGGTACTTGTTTGAAACTGGAGTATTTAGTTAGCTGCATGCCAGAGGGTTCTGGCATAACCTCACTTGGGCTGAATAATCTATTTCTTTTAAGAAATATCTGTGCCTTCATGCTTACCTATGGATGCAATCAAATCTGAAGTCACCTGTTGGACTGCATTTAATATCTAGAGCCATAAAATATTAGGATTATGGCTGCATTTGTAATAATGTCTCATAGTCCATTACTTTGAGACATCGCTGGTAGTGGAAGACATGGAAGTTTAAATGATTTCCAAGGGTCTGAGATCCAGGTGCAGCAGAATTGTATCAGTCAGACTTGAGGTGTTAAAATCTAATTGTAAGACTGGACAGTGGCTGAAAAAAAGAAATACATGAGATAGAGTGGGATGTAATGTAACAGTCTTACTGTTTATTTGGCTGCCCTCCTTTTGTCAAGTCTGTTTAGACTGCCAGGCAGAGAATTTGACAGAAGAAAATGCAGTAGCTCTGTCTTTATTTCTGACCAATTCTGCCCTTTCATAACAGATGGCTTAAAACACTTTGAGGTGAAGAGAGTGTAGGATGATGCATAATCAGACTACTCAAGATTTGTCTGCATGTTGCCTGATAACCAGCACTGCCGCCACTGTTGCTTCAAGTGGCCTCCTCTGCAGGTTCCCTCAGAGTACTGAAAGTTGCTTCATCTGAAAGATTTCATATTTATTACCATGTAATTCCCAGGTTTCTTCATGTTCATTCTTCTGCTTTTGAATATTTTGGAAGTCTTGTTGTCTTTACCATTATAAAGGGGGAGACCAAAATGTGACTCAGAACTTCTTGATTATAGTTGTCAATATTCAGGTGAGAATTTATTTAGTTCCTCTATATGAAGAACTTTAAACATTTGCTGAGACCCTTGAAATTCACTGAATTCAGTGAATTATCTTGCTAATGATGTGGAAGGCAAATGTATTTATTCAGATGGGATCAAAAGTTGTTAGCAATGCAACCTTAATTTCAGATATACCAAAGAAAACTAAACTTACTTGCTATAACTAAATTTATTTGGTATTTATTTACATCTCTGTTTAGACTCACTTTGCTTAAGTTATTCCTTAACAATGGAATAATAACGTCTTCAATTTATATGTAGGGTAAATAATGTGTTAGTGGTGTGTGTGAATGGGAGGGAAAATACAGAAAAGAGCAGCTTACCTTGATTTTCAGATCACTTATGAAGGTCTCAGATGAAACATCTGATTCCCTTTGAGACTCACCTTCACTAAACTTTTAATGTTCCAGCCAAGTTTTTAACAAGTACTGAATATCGCAGTAAACTGAGAATTGTGATAGTTGAAGCAGAAACTCTGTGGGCTATGAAGAACTGTAATGTCTTGTACCTTAAAAATAACTCTTGACCTGTCAGAGGAATTTTGAAACAACAGTCATATTCTGGAATAAAGTAATTAGTGTCAGTGTGGTCCTGTCCAGTCAGGAACTGATTTGGCTATGCTTTCTCACAGCTCTTGTGAAATTATGCTCCCCTCCCAAGCAGAGCAACTACTCTCTCCTTACGGAATTGGCTGCAATCAAGTTCTTCTTACACCTACCACACAGCACACCTTCTATCTGCCTGGGGTAGGAGAGACGCAGGACTGTGGCCACTGAGAACGGATGGCATGTTTCACTTCCACTCACAAACTACCAAGGTTTCACTCTTACCAGTGGCTAAAAAAAGTGTCTGTCTGCTCAAACATTGGCAATAACTAGTTAGTCTTTTAAGTACAAAGGCAGGATGATTTATGGGAATTTATTTTAAACTGGGGTTCAGAAGGTGAATTAGATGTTTAATTATATCTATACTGCTGCTTCTGCAACATGTAGCTATGCTGAGACTGTTATTCACATACCTTCTTGCATGCCCTTCTTATGTTAGCTTGATGATTGAGAGATATTACCTGTACCGTTGTTCTTTTCTGAAGGTATGGTAATCATGCAAGCTTGAATCTAGTTTCCCTAGGCCAGTGCTTAGAGTTTATGCAAATTGTGGTTTTCAAAGTGAAGAGACCCCATGACAGAATTAGACATTATTGAAGTGACAGAACTCAGTATTATGCTTCTAAAAGTCATACTCCAAGGGTTTGGGATCAGGGAGCCAATTGAAAACATGAGTATCCAAAATCACTGATTTGCATTGTGATCAACCTCATTTTAAAAGGCCCAGTGCTTATCTCCCGTCTAGATAATAAAAACAATGAGTTTTGTTGAGATTCTGATGTAAAATGCGTATGCAACTGAATCACAGAGCACTGATTTCTTTTTTTTTCTCCCCCATTTGCTTAGGCAGATTGAAATCAGTTCCTAAATGCAAAAGAGGAGATCTAAGTCAAGCCTTTCAGTGTTTGCCTGTTACTAATCTGGAACTTGATATATGTGACAGTCTTGCTATTCAGGCAATATCCATTTTGGTTCTTGCCTAGCCAATATGATTTTTTTAAGCCTTCATTTCCCTGTAAACATGCCTCGTTTAGATAAGAGAAATATTAGTTTCCTCTCCCTCCTGATCTACATGAGGAAATGTAGGTGTCACATCTTCCTTGGCACACTGTCATAGCAATTTATACAGGCACCTGCTATCATACACCTAGCTTAGTAATATGATTCTGTCCTTATGCATTCAAAGATACTCACTCTGTTTCTACTCATAAAGAACCTAAACTAAACAGCAGGCAGTACATGTGGGCTCAGGTTAGGTGATCCTCTCCTCTGTGTAGATTTTAAGCCATTTCACTTTTGTTCTTTTTTTACAGTGGAAAGGTTCAAGAATAAGTATAGCTAGTATAAACATACTGAACCCAGGAATGGGCATAATCATGAGTAGTTTAATATACATTAGAAGTCATGCCTGAAAGCTGTGATCTAACATGAACAGTCAATACGAAGTCTTTTTCCTTGTTTCCATGTGTCTTCCTATAAAATATTAAGAAATGGAAAAAACTCATGGTGTCTTATAATAGAGTATGTTGATGAGAATGTGATGGGAACAACCCCTGTCATCCATTTTGGTAATGCTTTTCACAAAGAAAGAAAAGGTGGTGATAGAATTCCTTGTTTGCTGCTATTCCAGCTACCAACCAGTAACAGTATAGTCTCGCATGATCCTTCTCAAATGCCATGAGGTCTGACATAGTTTTCCTCCTAACTTTCTCTTTAGAACAGCAAACAAAGAAGTCTTACAGTGTAAAACTTCATTTTACAAAGAAACAAAAGAGGGACTGGTTGTAGTTGTTCCCAGAAAACCAGCTGTTACTGCAAGTAACAAAACCAAAGGGTACTTTCCAACCCTTAGGTACTACAGGGATTTTGTTCCCTGTGACAGCAGGCACCTATTTCTATAAAATGTTAAGTGGCTTACGTATAGAATTCTACTGGGTTACTTAGGAGAGGAATACTTCTCATGTTATTCACTATAAGAATTGTTTGCCCTTTTATTTCTTTCAAGTATAGGATAAAGACTTTGCAATGTAAAGGACATCCTCCACTGCAGGATTAGGGTTTTGCTGAAATTCTGGGTCAAATGTATTTGGATCATATGGCAGAGAAAGCTGGGAGTATATATTTTATCAAAGCAGCATCACTGCACCAAAACACTTCGCCATGACTATTAATCCATTACAGAAGCCCTAATTCCAATTCCTTCTTCTGTAAACCCTGGTGCCTCTTAAATGACACAAGCCTGTCTTTCTGGAGAATGAACACAATACTTTATCTCTGTATTTAGTTCCTGAAACAGTCATTTGGATTTGCAAGTGCCCACCCTTTTGAAGAGCTTGTGGTGATATCTTGGCTCTGGTTTTGTCAGCATGCTTCCGTGTTAATGGTGTAGCATTGTTCCGCATGGGAGAGAGCTGCCACAGTATCAGCCACGATAAGAGTACAGTTGGTTTAGCCTCCTAGATTCCTGGGTGTTGTCTTTTCTCACAGAAGGAGGTAAAGTATTGGTAACCTTTCTCAAAGCTGAAGTGGCTGTCTTCCAAATGACAAGTTTTATTCCTGACAGGCCTCAAATGCAACTCACATACAGCGGGAGTCAAAAAGAGAGCGTTAAACAATAGATGACATTTAAAAAGAGCTAAGCTAGTAATTAAAAATATGGCCTGCAAATCACTTCTTTTCTTTTCCTAGTGGCAATTAAGAAGAACCTGTGGCGTCAGCCCAAAGTTCTGAAGAACCTTGGCTGGAAGCTTTGCAAAAGGAAGTTGACCTGAGATTTCTACAAGGAGTAATGAAGAGGAAGAACAAACAAGCAGAAATCACTGAAACCAAAAACAGGTGGGGGAAGAAACTTCAGAGAATGTGTATTTATCTTTTTAATGCTTCATCTGGCCTCTGACTCCAAAGATTGCTTAGGATGTAGGGGCTTTTGTTTGCTTGCCTTCCACCCCCCACCCCCCCACCCCCCCCCAAGTGCTTTGTCCGTTGCTGGATTTTAGTGTATATTCTGCTCAGGAGAGAAATTAACACATTAAATATTCGGAAAGATAGCTTTGTGTGTAGATGTCAAAGACTAGAAGATCAAAGTGACATTTCTTTGCACAAAAACACAGCATTGATTTTGTATTTCTGTATAAAGAAGATGAAGCTTAATATGTTAAGTGCCTGTTGTGGTCACTTGTGGTCATTTGGGGGCTACTGTAGAGCTTTTGTGTCTCCAGCATCTCTAAAGCTTGCCTTCAAACTAGCTGTGAAATGTTTGGTTCCATCCTGGAGTTGTCAATGCTGAGGTGGGTGCCTTAAGCTATTCTGTAGGGTGTGGAGGAAGTCTGGTTCTGCAGAATGGGCTTCACCAAGTGCCAGCACAGAAAGCATGAATAATTTAACACAGGACAAGTGTTTTGGTTTTGTAAAACTGCTTGACATGGCAAACTGAGAAACTCCAGTTCTGTGGTAGAAAAAGGGGGTTTTTTTTTTGATCTCACACTTAAAGTAACTCAAATAGAAAGCAGTTCTTAGTGAAGTAGAATATTATGAGTTACTGAAACAAAACAAAGGGATTTAATTTGCTTTGGATATATAAGAAAAGATTTATGCACTGTGAACTTCTTGACACTCTGATTTCTTCCCTCCCTCTCCCTCCCTGGTTTGGGATAAGGATTCTTTTGAAATGTTTAGATTTTCTGCAGGTTATGGAAACTATTTTATGCCTCATCCTGATATCATCACACTAGAACCATGGTCAAAAAAAGCTCTACTAGATCTTCCCTTTTGGATACAAAGTACCAAAACTAATAGAGAAGAATGTGATAGTGCTTATTCATCCTATGTATCCTTGAGAACTCCTTTGGTCTCATGAGATGGTTATACCTTTTTATTAAGCTGGTCTGTTGCAGTCTGGTACTTTAGGCCCCTGTGCTTTTTCTTGTAATACATTGATGGCACAGTGAACATGCTCAGCTCTGCGAGCATAGCAGCAAGAGCAAGATAGGGGTAGGTCATGTGGAAAAGGTGATGATCTTCTTTTTATGTCTGCTCCCTGTCAAGCAAATCTAGTGCTGCTGCTACAGTGAATAGTTGCCTGGGGGAGTGGGAGCTATCCCATCAGAAAGCAGCACAAATACGGCTGCTTCATGAGGGGCAAGCTGGGAGCTGCAGGTGACCGCAGTGCAGGCCTTTTCTCCAGCCCTCTACTCAATTAGAGATGGTGCCAAGCAAAGGGGGCACTGTATGTCCGGTACCAGGAATGCAGTTACGGCAACAGCAGATAAGGTGCCAGAACACAGCACCTGGAAGCTACAGAATACTTTGGGGGATGTGTTGAGCAGTGACATGTGGCAAGCATGGGGAACTGGGGGAGTCACGCTGAAACAAATAACCTTCTTGCATCAAAGAAAGCTTTGAAAAGAATTCAGTGTGGGAAGTAAGACTGGAGAGGAAGATGGTGGGATGGTGTTACTAATGGTAATCACAGTCCTCTCTATAGCGTGTGTTTAAATAGAAAGAAGGTAAATAGCCAAAGGAGCAAAAGTATTATCAGTTTTACTGCTCTTGGGCTTAAGGTGGGCGACATGCTTTTTGGAGAGGGGAAAGTTTCTCTTCAGTTCATGCACACTAGCTTGTTTGAATTCAGGATGTTTTGTAAAGCAGGATAAGAAGCTGACACAAACTTTTTCAGTGTCTTGGCATATTTTGGTTTTGCATCTGAAACAGCTCTTGGTCCCTGCTTACCTGTCTGTCTTGTTTCAAGGTGTCTGTCTCAAGGTTTCTTTGCACATGAACTCTGTTTTCAGACGCTGCAAATGGCCATGGAAATGTGACAGCTTAGGCTTTGAACTTGAAGCAAAACATATCCTGGTCATTTATATATACAGTACATGCTTCTGTCTGCCAGAACATGTTAGTAAAATCATAACTGTTTGAAATTCCACAAAGCATCAATTTGATTTTCCCATGTGGCCTCTCTGAGCCTAGAAGCTCAATGTAACCTTAGAAAAATAATTCTATACCCTGAACATGTCATTCTAGCTCAGGATTACTTATGTTTAATGCAATTATTTTTTGATGGGTCTGTTCTCAAGGGTACATTTGATCTGTTCCCTCAATTACCTGAATAAAAAGCACCTACTTGCTTTTTCTTCTCACTGCTAGAAGAGCAACAGGCTCACTTGTTGTGTCAAACTCACAAAACATTCATGGTAAGCTATGAGACAAGGTAGGAGAATCTGCCCACTTATCAGTCAAGTGCCGTGCCTGGCTTTGTTTTTATCTTTTTCTCATACTGAGCAATACCATCCCGTTACTCTCTATGTAACTTTCCCTTATTGTTGACATCTATTTTTTTTTCCCCCAAATATATGAGACTAGGATGCAGATAATGCACAGATTGGTTCAAGTAGAATGGAGATCAGCAAGCAGTATGTGATCGCAAGAAGAGAGGCGATACATTTTCACACACATATATGCACACATCCTCTTTTAATACTCTGTTTTTCACTCATGATGCCTGCCTTCTTTTGTAGTAACGCACAAACCAGAAGCCTTGAGGTTCAGCTTCACAACTGAGAAACCTAGATGTGGCTGCTGTCTGTGTTCTGTTTTTTTCAGAGTAGTCATAATCTTGGTCAGAATTTTGAGCTAGAACAATTAAAGCTACAGTTTCAGTCTGACAAATTTAGCTCTTACTGTTAAGGATTTTACTGTGGCTGTTTTTCTTACCATTTTATAAGACAGCTGACTGCAGAGCCCATCAAGTCTTGTAAGATCAACTAGCTGTCAGTGCATCTCTTTGCCTCTCGCCATAAGTGATAAAGAATGTTTTTGTAGGTTGGTGAAGGTAGAAGGGCTTATCTGAGAGACTGACAAGGTCAGTTCCTGCATCTAGTGTGTGTATAATTTAATCAAAGTGGATTTAATATGAGGACTGTACAGGATCCCTCCAAAGAATAGCAGGGAAAACCACAGCTGCTGGTCCTCTTTGTAAGTCACTGGGTGTTGCTTTAGGATACAACACTTGCCCTTTAACTTTGAGTACATTTGGATGCATAACATAGATTCAGAGAACAAGATTACAAGAAGACTGGAGAAGATTACTTAGTACTAGAAGGACTAGTATTAAGTAGTCTTTTCTTTTAGTTCAAGGGAACTTGTATCTTACAGCATGGCTTATAGGTTATAGAAGGTCTCCAAGGAATCCCTCAGTGAGATTTTCTGTTTCCTCCTTTCCTGTTTACTCCATCTTCCATTCCCTGTTTTAGCATCAACCGTGAAAGATGATGGTGAAATAATATTTACCTGAATCTGAGTAATTTATAAAAGCCAAGTCAGGACAAGACACCTTCACTGTATCTATAGTCAGTTTTACAATAACTTTTGTGTGCGTGTGCATGTGTGTGTGCATAGATGCTAATCTCTGTCATTATAGGTATATGCCTATCTAGCTATATTATAGGTAGATTAACATTTTTCCCTGACTGCTATTTGCTTATCCCCAGTAATATGAGCACCTGCATTTGAAAAACATCTCCTGTAATCAGAACTATGTGTGGATTTCTTTGGAGCAGTATAGGATCTGGTTGGATGTCTGTGCTACCTTTCACAAGTTATTTGGTGTGGGGCTGTAGGCAGCACTGGTCTGTGCTGTGGACATAAATTTGCTTGCTTTGTCATGGTTCCAGCAAAAGAAATTTCCAAGCTTTAGGCACAAAGGCAATGACTTTAAGAGGAGAATGAAGAGGCAATAATTTTCAGATATGCCTATCTATTTCACTTCCTCAAATGGATATCTTGTTATAAATAACTACATAATATTTCCATCACAGCCACTAATGTGCAGGGTTTACAGTATATATTCAAGTTTAATGGATTTCAGTTTACCCTTGAGAGAAGGGCGAAGTCTCAGTAGGGCAACCTGACTTCCTTTAGACGAGATATAAGCAACAACTGTGCAATTGCAGAGCAGGTCTAAAAATAGCTTTCTGGCAGTACAGTACAAAGCAGTGAAGTATAAAAACAAGATACTGCAGTTAGCTTCTCACTGGAGATTTTCTCAACTTTAATTCAAAGTATAATGAAAGAATCTATGTAACGTATAGGTACATAAATGTTTCTATTACAGAAGTTGACTGTATTTAATGGAGTTGCACCCGCCCAAATTGACTCAGATTGTATGAGGGAAATGACAAGGTGCCACAGTACAAAAGCATTCTGTTACAGTAATAACAGTAGATGCTCAGAGCAGTTTCAGCAACTGTAACTAAATCTCCTCCTTTCTGCCACTAAAAAATAATAATAATGAAAAGGGTGGTTTATTGCCACAGAAAAAATTACTAAGAGGCAAAGACAAAACTGGATCTATTTCTGTAGAAGATCTTCAGCTTTCATTAGTAGCCACCTCAGCACTCTTTCAGCAGAGCTCCTTCCATCATTTTGGGCAAGGGGGAGTTCAGTCCAGGTGACACATGGTTCATTGATCACAGGAGTCAAATAGGCTGTTACACTTCCTAAGCACCTTGCTTATTTAGATAAGAATGAAAGCCATTCATTGGCGTGGTTGAAATTAAATGAGCATCCTATTGAACCTTGGATCAATTGTATATCATGTTGATGTACTGGTTTCCAAGCAGATTTTGATCAGTGAACTCAGCTCTCCAACATTTCTCACACTCGCCTTTTAACTGAGAACACAAAGTGTATTGATCAGAATTGCCTTATAGACAACTTAATGTGACTTGATAGAACTGATAGTCTGGTAATCACACCTCAAACACAATTATAGTCAAGTAGGATGTTTTTTATTGTTTTTGTTAGTTAATTTTGCCGTTTGTTATGAAATCTGT